TTTTGTTCTTTTTCTAAATACTGTACAAAGTGATTCCGTGTAATAAACTGTAAGCCTAAATATTTATATTTAGGCTAAATATTTATATTTAACCTTACCCCATGGTTAAGAATGTTATGTTGTATATATATGTATATACACACACACACACACACACACACACACACACTGTCACCTTTAAAAAAACCAGTAACAGTATTTTAATAACGGACTGTTTGTTTTCAGTGAATTGCAATAACTGTTCTGGGAAATGTTTTTTTTTTTTTTTTTTTAATTTGAACTGTTATTCTTCGTTACAGAGCTGTTATCATAATTTACATACTGATTTAAAATACCAAGTATGAAGCCATGCACCAACACCACAGTAAATTGTGCCACCAAAGTAAATGTACAGTAAATGTTCTCACAAAAGTGTGTTACACAGTAACTTTTACAATTTAAACACACACCCTGAAAACTGACCTCCGTCGAAAAAATTAAGAATGTACGTAGAATGTAGAAAAACAAAAGAAAGCCAAGACCTATAGGCTGCAGAAAGACTGTTCGCGCCTGCATGGCATCCGTCAAAACAGGAATTATCACAGCAGCAGCTTAAATCTAATAACAAAAGGTGAGACAGTCTGTGATTCTACTTGATTACCCAGGGGAACCTGGAGAGTGCTGTCTGTAAAAATGTTTCTGGCAGCAAGTAATTTTTATCATCATGTGGATCGTACAAAAATGCACCTGACTTTTTAGGGATGCATTACTGCACTGCTGAAAATGAAGGATCAAAGATGAACATGCTGGACTCATCCTGGCAAAGGAGATGAAAGGTGGCTTTTAAGGTGTTTTCCTGTTCTTCCAATAATGGATGAATATGTGAGAGCAATTCCCATTATATACTGTATGGACCCATTACTGATCAGCAGCATTTGGGTGGCTGCACATAGAAATACTTTAGAAGGGATCCTCTTATCTCCCATGTTTTATAACATGTTCTAGTGCAAAAAAATTGTCATGGCTTGGAATTTACCTTCCAATGGTGAGGAACATGAAGACCAATGAGACAGTAAATGTGATGATAAAAGATCAATATTCCTATATCTGAAAAAAAGAAAAATCTGAGTATCCAATTTCAAATAGAATCAGTTTGTGGCTCAGCCAGTCTTCACCACTTCCACCTAGAAAGAAACAGGTAGAATGAATAAATTACGTTTTCCGCAGCAAAGGCATTTGGAGTCAAATGGAAAGTCTAATGGAGGCCATTATTTGCAGCTGCATTAATCACAGTTGGCCATGTTGTTTAAAGGACACAACTAGACAGTGTGTTGCGTGGGTTTTTGATTTTGAAAATCTTTGAAAATAAAAAAAACTTTTATCACACAAAACACCACGTGGCTTCATACTTTACCAAAACCATTTAAGAGGATCACTTTGACTGTATGTCCAAAGAGGCTCAAAATAACGGAACTTAGAGGAAACTACTTGGTTGTCAAGAACCATCAGAGACAAAGGTATATACAGTGTATGTTGGTACATGATTATATCATAAAAATTTTGAATTTAAGTGGTTCCATAGTGCTGTGGTCAATACCTGCCAATGCCTGCCTTACATGTCCAGAGGAGTGATATAACCCTGATGGGGGTTCCCATGTGGCAGCCTATGTGGTTTACAAAGTGTCAGACTGTGAATTTTCCCCTCAGGAATTCTTATAAATTATGATCTGTGTAATCAGCGTAATTGCTTTCAAAGTGTACGACTTTCACAGATGAAACACTATGCTGTTTAGACAGCACAAAGTTGAGCTTTGCTTTTGTGTGAACTCAGTGAAGCTTTTAAAACTAACTGTTGGTCTTTCATTATTCTAGATGAGATACTCGTAAGCTGTTGGAGTAGCTTGAAGTACTACAGCCAAGTGATTGGGCTTTAAAGCAGGCTTTCAAAACGTCAGTTTCCAAAGTGTCTGTGGGTTAAAGAGATTGTTCTTTAATTTGACTAGTGGGCCAGTATCCAACCAATACACAGACCATCTTACCAAAACACTGTTGGTGTGAGCAGGGAATCCATATTATCAGGTTAGACTTTATATAGGTACCTAACATCTGTTGCTGTATACGTCCACGCTGGTATCAATTATGCTTATCATTGCAGGTTTTCTGCTTCCAGGTAGAACATTAGTGGTGCAACACTGAGCAACATCAGTACAACAGAAAACCATTTCTCAAAAATGGACTCTCTCTTTATATCTGCAAAGGCATTTTTCAAAGCTATCACTTTGTGTGTTTGTTTCACACTGACAAGCTACAATCAAGATATTTCCCATTTCTTTATCCTGTTGCCTCCTTTCAAAATGCCAGGGGTGAGAGCTTCTTATTTGTACATCTGGTTTTTTTATAAGCCTTCCTGGCTGAGAGCCTGTTAGCTAGGGGCTAGTGCTGTAAAAAGAAATAGAACTTCAGAGTTAACTGACCTCATGCAGATTTGTTTCTGCGTCTCAGCTGGACACATCCACATACACTAAAGCATTTTATCCTCTTAAGCATTTGATTTCAGCCTTCAAGCATATTACTTTATAATATATATAATGGTTTCATCTAATGAACAAGGATAAATCACTGTGAATTCTATATATCAACGACCGCTCCATTGTAAAATCACAAATAATCAATATGGTCAGTTGCCCTTTACTGTCCTCCCCATGCAGTCTTCCAAAATCACAGAACATGATCTTAAACCACAAAATGGAAATGTATACACTTTTGTGTGTCACCCATTTTACTGGGGACGGGGCCCGCAGACAATCAGTGACCCACTAACAATGCAATCTTTTTTCACAGTTTTCTCTGCAGCAAAAACAAACACCATCACATTTAAATCAGCAGAAGACTAAGCCAGAACATGTTTCCGAGATAAGGCTGCAGCATGGTGTTAGGTCCACGGTGGGAATACAAGCAGTCATGGCAGGGAAAAGAGGAAAGAAAAAGATTGTGTTCTTTTATCATTGCCCTTCAAAATTCAGTGGAGCTCTGCCTTTTAAAATGACACGCCCAAAGAGTCATGGAAGGAAAACTAATATTTAAGAGTGACAAATTAAAAACTGAAGTATTAGGGGTAGTATAACGGTGGTCCCTTTTTTGGAATAGACTCTCTGGGGCAACTTGGGTAGAAAGCATTTAAGTGCAGCTGAGGGACACCTCACACTGTCTGAAGATGATGAATTTGAGCAATTCTTTGGCAATGTTTGCTCAATTCAAGGTCAAAATCGAGTTGTGATACATGGGTGTATCTGGGCTCTCAAGGCCAGATGATAACAAAGATAGGAAACCCATCTTTCCGACACTGGAAATCATAAATCATTCATGACACTCTTGTAAGAATATGATTTGCATTTGCTTGTTTTTCAGTTAGCTACGACACAGCTTCTCCTCCTCATTCATATTCATATCTTGACGATATAAAGTAGTTATCTGTGTGAAACAGATAAACATGTTTTTGACATCAAGTATCTCTGGCTTGTTTACTTTAATATTTGACGCATGTCACGTACGTATATCTTGGTGATTCAAGCCATTCATATTGACAAATCTTAGAACCAATATGAATTAATCTGACAAAATGTGGATGTTATCAAGTTTTTCTTTTTTAACATTTTTTACACAAATTAGGTTTTTAGCTGAACAATTAGTGAAAATGTTAATATTTGATGCTTCGTTATGATACTGCAGTTTTTGCCTTGCTCCAATACACAAAATGATGCCCATTGTATCTGACAGTCCAGCAGAAAATTATGACTTAAAATAGTAGAATTGAGTGAAATTATTTAACTTTGTCTTGGATTTTGCCATTTACAGTACATGTACAGAGGCAAAGCAGAATGCTCTGGCATCTTCTTTGCAGGATGTCACGCCATTGAACTAAACCAAAGGAATGTTCTAATGTTCAGGATGTGTCCAATTTCACGACAGAGTGAGTTCCTCCCCAAACAGAATTTATGAGTGCTGAGGTCCCCACAATCCCTTACACACAAGGTGTTTTAAACCCACTGCAAAAAATGTTGAGAAAAAGAAGCAGAATGTGTGAAACTGGAGAGAACATACAGATTCAGGAAAGGTGGTGAATCAAGAAGTCACTTAAATTGGAAGATATGACAAATTCAGTATTAAATGCATTTACGTATACTCACATTATTATTCCCAGAATGACTACTTGGATTTCTTGTGTCCTCCTCACTTTAAAAGACAAAACACATTTTCAGTGTGTTTCATTGATTAATGAGTATGCCTTAAATCAGAATGTTCTCCACTGGACCATGCTCCACTTCAGACTACTTAACTTTGAAATGTCCTCATGTTGGAAAAAAGGTTGTGTTTATTATGTCTTAAAAGAGTCAGTGGTTACCATAGCACTTTTTCTTGTGTGTATGTTAGATAAAGTTGCAACTTAAGCCATCATCATACTTGATGTAAGAAGGTTTTTTTATCAAGTTATAGTGCCCTGGGTCAACGTCAAACAGGGGTTTAAAGCTCTGGCTGTCTCCATTTATCACCATCTGGCAGCAGTCACTGTTTTACAGTATATCACAGCAAGGTCAGCAGCGCAGCAGTGATGTGTTAGGTTTGCAAATGTTTTTGGGAGCTATTTAAAGGTCTACTGTGGTTTGGTGTATGTAAATCAAAAACAGTGAGGACTATATCACTGACGGCAGTTCTTTGTGGTTCTTATGTATATGCCTTCTGCTGATAAGAAAATTACCCTATTTCCAATTCAATTTTTCAAACTAATATTTTACAAACTCTAAAGGGAACAGCGGGTTATTAATAGTGGGGCAATCCGAGATGTTTGCTTTATTAATTAAAAGTCACTAGTGGATTCAGTGTTTTTTCTCTTTTAAAGTCAAATATAATATATCCATAACAAGAAATACAATCAGGAAAGAAATGTCACATTTTGTCATATTTTCTGTAATGCAGTTTTACACCCTGTTTCTATAGTAACAGTATGTCTCGTGTTTCAACAGGTCAGCTGTAGGATGGTGTCAGGGGAGGCAGGAGGGCACAGCTACTTGGTGGCATGCTGGCAGCCCATCCTGATCCTAATGCTTGGCACCGTCCTTTCTGGCTCCACCACTGGTTGTCCTTCCCGATGCGACTGCAGCGCTCAGGAACGCTCAGTAGTTTGCCATCGTCGGAAGCTGGCAACTTTTCCTGAGGGCATCCCAACTGAAATAAGACTGTTGGACCTCAGCAAGAACCGTCTGAAAACTCTGGGGCCAGACGAGTTCATCAATTACCCTCAGTTGGAGGACCTGCAGCTTAATGAAAATACAATTTCAGACATTGAGCCTGGGGCTTTCAGCAATCTTATGAACCTCCGTACTCTGGGTTTGCGCAACAATGAGCTGAAGCTCATTCAGCTGGGTGTCTTCACCGGCTTGACGAACCTCACAGAGCTTGATATCAGTGAGAACAAAATTGTCATTCTCCTCGACTACATGTTTCAGGAGCTGTACAACCTGAGAGCTCTGGAAGTTGGTGACAATGACTTGGTGTTTATCTCACCCCGATCATTCCATGGCCTCACCAACCTTGAAAGCCTCCACATTGAGGGATGCAATTTATCCTCAGTGCCCACTGATGCCCTTAGCCATCTTCATAACCTACTATCACTACGATTACGATACCTGAACGTCAGTGTCTTAATGGATTACTCTTTTAAGAGACTCTATCGGCTAAGATTCCTGGAGCTTTCTCATATGTCTGCCCTGGATACCATGACTCCGAAATGTTTGTTTGGTCTCAACCTCACCTCACTGTCAGTTACACATTGCAATCTCAGTGTCATTCCATACCAGGCCATCAGCCACCTAAGATATCTTCAGGATTTGAATCTGTCCTTCAATCCCATTCAAGCTGTCGAAGGTAACCACCTGTTTAATCTGCAGAACCTTCAAGCTTTCCACTTGGTTGGTGGAAGACTGACTGAGATTGAACCCTACTCTTTCCGAGGAATCAATCACCTCCGCATACTTAATGTCTCCAGCAACAGTTTGGCCACCGTGGAGGAGACCGTCTTTCACTCATTAGGAAACCTGGAGATGTTAGCTTTACATGAAAACCCACTGGCCTGCGACTGTCGTCTACTCTGGGTCTTTCGTCGGCGGTGGAGGCTCAAGTTCAACAAACAGCAGCCTGTATGTGCTTCACCTGAAGTGATGCAAGGTAAAGGGTTCAAGGACATTCCAAACAGCCTACCTTCTGACTACTTCATCTGTCAGAAGTCAAAGATCTTGGATTATAAAGTTAAAGAAAGCCATGTAGATGAAGGAACAACAGTTCACTTTAGTTGCCCAGCTGAGGGTGAGCCAGACCCTGTGATTTTGTGGCTATCCCCCAAAAAGGAATACATCACTACTAAAACCATGGGGTCAAGACTCTCTGTGTCTCATGATGGCACACTGGAGGTACGGTACGCCCAAATCCAGGACAATGGCACCTACATGTGCATTGCAAGCAATGCAGCAGGTAATGACACCAAAGCTGCTCACCTCTTTGTACATAGTTACTCTCCTAATTGGCCCCACCAGCCAAACAAGACATTTGCCTTCATTTCCAACCAGCCCAACGAAGAAGGTGCTAACGTGACCCGGGCTTCAGTTCCATTCCCTTTTGATGTAAAGACACTCATTATTGCAACTACCATGGGATTTATCTCCTTCCTGGGAGTTGTCCTCTTCTGTCTGGTAATATTATTCCTCTGGAGTAGAGGGAAAGACAACACAAAGTCAAGTATAGAAGTGGAATATGTGCCCCGTAAGGAGGAATCAGAGGAAGCGAGTCCAAATGAAGAACCAGTACAATTCAACATGAAAGTGATGTGAAACTATGAAATGAAAGTGATGTGAGCTTGCAAACTACAGCCCTGATGCATTTTGCCTTCTCTTCGAGTGTGTACTTGATGAGTGGTAGGAATTGCCTGGCAACAAATGCATCTTGACAATGTATCATTGACGTTCCTCTTTTTTTACTCTGAAAGGACTGAATGTTGAAACAAAAAGTTGATCTTCAATTTTCTGTATATCGAAATTTGGAAATACTACAACAGTATTACATGGACTGAAGGAGCCCATTGCTGTACGTATTCAATGTTAAAATGGGCAAACAAAGCAAACAGAAGGATGTTCTGTTAACAGGTGTACGCAGAAATAGACTTAACAAGAGATTGTCCTGAAGGTAAAATCTGTCGGCCCAGAACGGAAGTATATCACACGAGAGTCGTGTTGCATTTTGCATTCTGGTGTGTATCATAAATGGAATTTAAATTCTTGTTACAAGTCCAAAGTGGAAAGAAGTTTCTTATGTTTGTTTTGTCGTTTTAAAAAAGAACTGACCTGTGAATTTTAAGTTTTTGTGTATTTTTCAGACAAGTAACAAGAATAAAGTCAGAACAAAATAGAAAGAGTAGTGTTGTATTGGTAAAATAAATATATTTACAAAAGATGTGGACCAAGGCTGAAGTCATAGTTTTTACTAAACAGCGATACATACATTATCTCTAAGATAATTTAGGATCTAGCTTCTGTAAATTTGAATTATTACTTTGTCATTTACTAGTTTTGAGTTTTGTTTTTGGTGTTCACTACATGGCACAAAGGTAATATTTCCAACAGCCTTGACAACAAATCCCAGATTAAGTTGTTTTTTATATGGTTTGTCGTTTTCACATATTGTGACAGTACTGGAAATCAGCAACTTTGCAATCTATTCGCCAATCTATTGAGTCGTGCGGTCCTCTTCTAACAGTCCATATCCTGGGATCAAATAGTAACTGCTCTGTCTCTGAAATTATGACGTTAGGGGACTTTTTCGCCTCAAGGAAGTCATTGTTTAGCTCAGCAATAGCCCATATTCATGTGTAAAACAGTTTTATGCCTCATAAGAATACCATGTTTAAAGTCATTAATTTCTCAGTCAAGGTCTGCTCTGTAGATAATGTGTTCATTAACTCCCACTAAACATGTTTAAAGGGGAAAAGAGTCGGAGATTCTATTAAAAAAAACACTTAATATTTCTGCATTACATATTTAATGCCAGTGTATTGGGAAAATTAATGTTTTATCTGTGTTGCAAGAAATTGTAAAAAAAAAAAAAAAGAAAGAAAGAAAAAAGAAATCGCATTGCTTTACCGAAGAGGAACCAAGTGAATCACACACTGTTAGAACTCTGAGTTCACAAACTCATGAAGAGCAGAGATAAAGTCAAATCCAGACTGGGTGTAAACCCGTGTGCTAAATATCCCATTGTAGTGATAACAAATAGCCAGAAGAACAGTATATGCATAAAATATAAATAAACAGCATACGTGTCAGCTTGGAGCCTGACGTGATAGGCATAGGAGTCTGTATGGTTATGAAGAAAGCAGGAGACAGACAGTCAGTGTCTGAGTGGATCCAGTGCATCTCTGGATTTTTTTTTCCCATTCCATTAAAAACACATTACACTACCGATTACTGATAGAGCAGCATGAACAGCATCTGTAAGGATTCAGAAAAGGGTTCTTGCCGACTATCAAGGATGAACATTAAAGAGAAGCAACATGAGTTGATTTCCACACATTTACTACAGCCCGGAATTTGTCCGTGTGTTACAGAGAAAACAAATGCTGCGCTGAGCCTCTGAGCCAGAAGCAAACACACCTCACTCTGCCAGCACCTTGTATGAAGCCTGTCGCATGGATCTGTGTTGGTGCAAATTAACAGTGCGGGTTACAATACAATAACCAATACACAATCATGCAGTTGGGTTAAGCCAGTATGTGAGTCACACAGTGACAGTCTCCCGTTGTGCGGGTGTGAAGTCCAACACAGTAGACAATGCCCAGGCCTGTTCCTTTGCAAACCTGTATTTCACATTTGAGAATATGCCAGTGGAGTTTTTATGAGGCTCTGAACTACACTTACTAACAAAGCTGATGCAACATTAAAAATATTGAAAAAACTTGACAAATCAATATTGAAAACTGATTATACATTTGTTTTAGCTTTCAGCTTATCACACTGAACACCCACCCAAAAACTGGTTGAGAATAAAAAGCTTCACTGTAAACATGAGCTGTGATGTGTGTAATGAAGAGAAAATACAATTATTACTTCTTTTATCATCATTGTCCAGATTACTTTTGGCTTACAAAGACTGTTCTGACGGACTGGCATACTGCAGCTGTATTTATAAACACATAGCTGCAGTTGTTTTCTTAAGGTGAGTAAAATAGGATAAGATTTGTTTTTATTATTATTATTTATTCAAAGGAAGAGAATCTCACCAAGTACTGTTTCTGCAGATATAGTTGCATTGGGGCTCACAAAGGAGAAGTGCAGCAAACAGCATGGTATTGCCAAGCCGAGAAATCACGAAGTTTAAAATCAATTCTGTAATGAAACTTGCAAAGATGAGAAAAGGTTAGCAATATGGCGGAGTGTGTAGATTAAGTGTTTTACCTATAAACAAGACAGTAAGAGCAGAATTCTGCTCATCTGAATTTAAGTTGCAAGGAGGCTTTAAAATGTACTGTGTATAAATTCATGATTTTTTTTTTTTAGGGTGAAAGAAAAAGGCCATTGTGACAGAGCAGATTTCTCTATAGCTTGAAGGAAGAAAAGGTTTAATAACTCTGTCGTTAAATGCCTACAGGGTTGAAGGCAAACAGCTTTGTTGTTGTTGACAGGAAAGACAGAGGCTTTGTTATGGGCTACGGACAAAAGGGTTCAACCTTAAAGGGCAGGTGTGTAGTGATTTTTCACCAATAGATCTTTTTTTTTAAAGAGCAGGGACTGCAGTGATGACAGTTAAACTGGTTCACTGTGTGAATTAAGTGAGCCGGTGGAACGCTGCTTTATATGTATCCAAACTCAGCAAAAACCTTCTCCACAACAGCAAGTAATACATTACTTTTTATTTTTTCTAGTAAGAAATGAGAAAAGAATTGCACCCTGTGACAGGCCATTTGACCGAGTGGTTCATCACAGCTTGCTGTGGCTGTACATCTCCTGCAGGGTTGTAACATTATTTTCTCTGTATTTGACACAAACCACAAACTTAAAACTTGACAACTGCCTTTTGGGCTGGAATAATTTTAAGAGTGAATTTTATGACCGGATAAAGTTTATGTAGACCCTGCAATAGTGACTTATGGTCTTTGAGCTCATTCTCCTTGTCTCTTCAACATTTTGTCTTCTAGACTGCACTGCTGCCAGCAACTACAACCAACAGCAACAAGACATGTACAGTAGACATTTGATTACAGGGGATTACTTTTAAACCAGCTTGGTCTAATCAGAATCAAGTCATATGATTAAGAAATTGAGAATTTTAATAGTTAGCATGCTTGCACAGTTGGACTGCACTCTCCGACCCTAGACAGACAGTGGATTGACACGTAAAAGGTTCATGCTGCTGCAGGTCATAGAGCTGTGTAATTACCGGGAAAAGCTGAAAAACAGTGCTGACGTTTCCACAGTGGTTCATTAAAAGGGCTTGGAACATAATCAGAATGGACTGAGTGTTAGTGGTGTAACCACTAAGCCAGCAACTCAGTTACCTTCTCACTTAGAGGCTTTTAACCTGGAGGTAACAGGCTTCTGCAGGTGATGATTGATGAGGCTCTCCAAGCATGGCTTCAAAATCTAGCTGTGTTTTGAGGTGATGTGTCCAAGATGGATTGTATCTGTGGTAATTCAATTTCAGGTTAAAGGCTGTGACCAAATATCTTTAGGGAAACTATTTAAGGTGAACATGTCTATGAAGATTCTCAGTCATCCAGGTCATGGTCAAGTTTGAAAGTTCTCTTAGGCAACTGGAGGTGAATTTTCTAAAAGAAGACGTTTCACCTCTCATCCAAGAGGCTTCTTCAGAAAGTTAGCCTTTGAGATGCAACGCACCAAGCTGATGGTTTAACAGCTGTCATCACAATATGACAACCACAGAGTGTAATAAATACAGTACTCTAATTATATGGACAACTATGACAGCCCGTTGTTTATTTTTAAGACAGCATTTGGAAGACAGTACAGTATCATCTTTACTATTTACAATATACAACTGTCTGCGATGGAGACAATGTGACAGAATTAGGTCATGTAAACAAGGAAGGCAGTGACAGGTAACAGGAAGTTCCCCCCGAGTTACAAAAGGTAGCACAGGGAGACTCTTATTCTAAGATTGTATCTGTAGTGAAAGTCTCCTGGTACATTATCAGGTAAAAAGGTTTAGTTGGCGATCATTCATCTATTTAATGTGGATCAATGAAACTGAAGGCCACATATTTCTTTTGAAAACAGGGTAATAGTCCATGATAAATGATATAATTAAAGTGTATTCCTTTACTGAACTGTCACCATGTTGTACTGTAAAATTCTATGGACACCAAAAACAACAGTAACAATGTAAGGCAATAGCTGAAGGCGGTGCTTCCTGAATTTCACAGAATTCCTTCAAAGTGTGTTTCTAACATTCTTTTTTATCTGTTTTAATCTGTGTGCCAGCAATTTGAAAAAGCTCAACTGTGCTACAAAAAAGAAAAGAAGAGAAACAATGGTGAAACAAGGTGGATGTTTGCTGAAATAGCAGCTCCTAAATGTCACCCTTCTACACCGTGTCTGTTGTAGTGTGTGTGACAATAATAGAATGCAGCACAACACTTACTCTACTGATACTTGAGGACATGGGTAGGTTGACTTACAGTAACCATGTCAACTATTTGTTTTCTGACCTCATACTCAACATGTCTTAGTTGTTTGGCAGTAAAATCACAACTTTGAGGAGATGTTGATTTTTCAGCACTGATGCTTTATGTGATGGAGAAAGAAATATATTTCTGCACAGTGATGTCTAAAATAACACCGAGGAGTGAAAATACTGACCCACCTGTACAGTAAACAGCACTTTGCACTGACAGTGAGACCCGAGACAGATGATTACAGGCTTAAGCTCAGCTGGTACTTTTCAGATCCAATCTATGACCTAATTTAACCAGTTTACATAACGCCCTCCATTATTAAAGACATGAACTGGTCAGGGGTGCAATATGTCTACTTTCTCTTCTGTGACTCAGTGATTACCTTTTATAAAAATAAAAAATAAAAAAAAAAACAACACAATAGGCACAGATTTGAACATTCAAGCATAATTTTGTAATTTCACAAAGTAGTTATGTATGAGCAAGGCCTCACTCAGGCAGATAAGTGAAATCAGACTGTAATAAAAACATATTCTTTTACAGCTCTTTTGATGAAACCAAAAAAGGAAATGTTTAGTATCAAAAATGATTTGGTTTTCTGGGTAAAGTCTATGTAGCAGCCGAGAAGGAAACAAAATCATGCCTGCTTCTCCTCAAAAGTAAAGAATGTCAACAGCACCTCCATCCTCGTAGAAGAATTGCAGTGACTTTTCAGATGAAGACAAGACTAAGCGAAACAACTGTGATCAACAAAAAAGTGGCAGCAGTTTTTCGGAACTGATGAGTCATGAGTTTAAAAAAATGTCTCTGTAGCAAATCATTTTTGCCATTTGGTCAGGATTACTGTTGACAATGACAGGGGAAACAGACTTATCACAGTATGACGTAGTGCCATCAAGGTGTTCAAAGTCTTTACCCAAATCTATTGTTGTTCTATTATTATAATATTACCTCCTAAAGACTTTGGGTCGTGTTAGTTCCTCAAAACCAACCTGGTATTGTTTCATTTGTATTTTTTTTTGTTCCAGGGCGAGATGAGCAGGCAAAGACTGACAACTTGTGTGTGGTCTTCCAGACCACACACTCAGGATGACAACCGTGGAATGCATAAATCATTGGCTGCCTGCATGCATCTGAACCACACCCAATATGTGTGCTGCAGGGGCCTCTTTAACTGATCCAGCTATGTAGCACCTTCACACATGGATACCTAGATTATTGGGTTATTCAAATACAGGCCTGCCAGGAGGGCTGCAACTGCTCAGCTGCTTCTTCAGGTTTGATCATCTCTGCCGTTGCTCTTTTTTTGTCACATTCACATTTCATCCTTCAGATCACCTTGGAGCACAGTAATATGCATAATGTGTGTGGACATGTTAAGAGGAGCAGAGGAGTGTTCTGGATGGAGCAAGGGATTTCAAAACTGGACTGAAACATGCCTGCAGGGGGCCTCGTACAGTAATAGAGGGCAATAATGAACTGTGAAATGTCTTCATTTAAATAGCAGTGAAATTAATTTTCTTTTCTTTTTTTTCTAAGTCACATATTCGGTGTAGCTTTCGTCAAACAAAGAAACATTCAGGTGCATTTTTTCCTTTGCCTTAAAAACAGGCTCATCTCTAAATCTCACAGCCTAAACAAGAGCCAACTATCCTCAAGTAAAAGAGAAGGAAACTAATGCTTTTAAATTGGGCAGTGATGTACTTTAAAGTTATTTGAAACCTCTGACCATAAATCCCTGGGTATTTTATTAAGGACTTGGCACAAGACTGCAGGATAATTAACCAAATTCTTAGAATTAATGGTCTATTCCTAACCTTTGGAGATGGTGTCTGGCTGCTTCAGGAAGATGTAATGGCCAGTGAGTAAATGCTGCAGAGAGCAGAGACACCTCAAGATCATTCTGTGCTGCTTCTCTGTGTATTTGAATTTAATGTGGATCTAATTAAATTCTCATTTTTAAAAAAAATTATAATGACTTTAAGACCATGTGAACACCAGCAATTAAACCTATTGATTTTAGGTGAATATGTTAACTTCTTATTCAACAGAATGGACCATGTTAGTGGGTTTTTGGCAGTGCAGTGAATCATACCCAGGATTTCATTATTAATTTAAACATTTCCAAAGACATTTTTAGTTGACTATAATTAATAGTTAATTAAATTAATAATAAATAAAAACTATAATGCATTAAGCTTGTCCTCTTTATTTGTAATATTATTACATATTTTACAGCATAAAAAATGTGTTTGTTTAAAAGATGACATGGCCATCTGGTTAGTGGGCTGCACAGGATATTGAAGATTAGACTAAATTAGACTAAAAAGTTCTATGAAGAAATCGGCAAGAAAAAAAGGCTTATTCTCAGGTTTTGGTGAAATAAAGGCT